CATCCTCCGCAAGATAGAGACCTTCCTGAACCATGTAAGAGGCCCCGTATCCCTCCCCACCCTTCCCCCTGTAGTCTACCTCCATTTCTCCAGATAGAAGGCCTCCACCTGTGACAGGCAGTAGTACCTCCCCATTCTCCTCACTGAGGATGGGGCCTGGGAGCCCCCCGGCCTGAGCAGCCCAGTTCTGACCACACGGATCCCAGGGCAGTCATGGACTAAATTAATCCTCTGCCCAGTGGGTTGGGCCATAACATCTGACCCAGGTGAATCCTGAGGAGTGGCTGGTTGTGTGTCACAGTGAGGAACTTCTTTTCATTGTTTTGCTTGCCTCCCTGTCCCCTAGTACCCCGTGGATAGTTCATGGATCGCCCCAGAACTCCGGTTGCAGAGTGATGACATCTTGCCCTTGGGCAAGGACTCAGGGCCTCTGAGTGACCCTATCACAGGCAAGCCCTATGTGCCCCTGTTGGAAGCCGAGGAGGTGCGTCTCAGCCAAAGCCTGCTAGAACTGTGGCGGCGGCGAGGGCCGGTCTGGCAGGAGGCCCCCCAACTCCCTGTGGACCCACATCGGGACACCATCCTCAATGCCATTGAGCAGCACCCGGTGGTGGTCATCTCTGGGGACACGGGCTGTGGGAAGACCACACGCATCCCGCAGCTGTTGCTGGAGCGCTATGTGACCGAGGGCCGCGGTGCCCGCTGCAACGTGATCATCACCCAACCTCGACGCATCTCTGCTGTGTCTGTGGCGCAGCGGGTTAGCCACGAACTGGGCCCCTCCCTGCGCCGGAACGTGGGCTTCCAGGTGCGATTGGAAAGTAAGCCCCCGGCCCGAGGCGGGGCCCTGCTCTTCTGCACTGTGGGTATCCTGCTGCGCAAGCTGCAGAGCAATCCCAGCCTGGAGGGCGTGAGCCACGTCATCGTGGACGAGGTGCACGAGCGGGACGTGAACACAGACTTCCTGCTGATCCTGCTCAAGGGCCTGCAGCGGCTCAACCCGGCCCTGCGGCTGGTGCTTATGAGTGCCACAGGGGACAATGAGCGCTTCTCCCGATACTTTGGTGGCTGCCCCGTCATCAAGGTGCCTGGCTTCATGTACCCAGTCAAGGAGCACTACCTGGAGGACATCCTGGCCAAGCTGGGCAAGCACCAGCACCTGCACCGGCACCGGCACCACGAGGTGAGGGACATCCCTATCCCACCCAGGGCTCCTGGCCTTTCCTCCATGGATGCCCCTCCTCCCCGGCCCTGGGGCTTGGTGGCCTGGGGCAAGTTACCCTCCCCAATCCTCGGTTTCCTTGATAGAAAACTGGGGACTAACCCTGCCTGCGTGGCACGCATGTCAGGACTGGAGTTGATGTCAAGCGGCTCCGTCTCACTGAGTCAGGTGGCTGTGTCCTTGGCACGACCCCTTACCCCGGGGCTGTGACTGTGGCCTCTCTTCCCCCACCCCAGTCTGAGGATGAATGCGCCCTTGATTTGGACCTCGTGACTGATCTGGTTCTGCACATTGATGCCCGTGGGGAACCAGGTGGGTGCCTTCTCATCTGCCCTGTGCCCGCCCCAGCTCCACTTGCAGTAGCAGCCCACTCATGCCCCAGGGCTCCTTTACAGGTGGGATCCTGTGCTTCCTGCCTGGGTGGCAGGAGATCAAAGGAGTGCAGCAGCGCCTCCAGGAGGCCCTGGGCATGCACGAGAGCAAGTACCTCATCCTGCCAGGTGAGAGCCTGGGTGGAGGGACCAGGAACCTTCAGAAACCGGCCTGGCCTTTGTCTGGGGACTGACCCAACTGGGACTCCAGGGGCCCTGGTTTCTGACCACGCTGTGGCATTTTTCACTGGGCAGTGTTTATCTGTGCCTGATTCATCAAACGGGGTCAGAATCCTTGCCCTGCCCGCATGCCCGGGGGAAGTTCTGGTGGAATGGTGGAAGCAGTGCCCATAACCAGTGTGTGTCTTGCCCACCAGTGCACTCCAACATCCCCATGATGGATCAGAAGGCCATATTCCAGCAGCCTCCAGTGGGGGTGCGCAAGATTGTCTTGGCCACCAATATTGCTGAGACTTCCATCACGATCAATGACATCGTGCACGTGGTAGACAGCGGGCTGCACAAGGAGGAACGCTATGACCTGAAGACCAAGGTGGCACCTACCTCCTGGGCCCAAGGGGAGGGAATCTAAGTTTTGAGGTGGTCCCCAGCCCAGCTCTACCTTAAACCTGCTTTTTGTGTCTCAAGAAGGCCATGCTTGTGGGGTCTCGGTGTCCCTGTCATGGGGGAGTGGTGAGGGTTATTCAGGGAGGGAGGAAGCGCTGAGGAAGTGGCATCTGTGTGCTACTTACCTGCCCCCTCCCCTAGGTGTCCTGCCTGGAGACAGTGTGGGTGTCAAGAGCCAATGTGATCCAGCGCCGGGGCCGGGCGGGCCGCTGCCAGTCAGGCTTTGCCTACCACTTGTTCCCGAGAAGTCGGCTGGAGAAAATGGTTCCTTTCCAAGTGCCAGAGATCCTGCGCACGCCTCTTGAAAACCTGGTGCTGCAAGCGAAAATCCACATGCCCGAGAAGACGGTGTGGTGGGGCGGGGGCTGGCTGGGGGGGAGGGGGCAGGCTCATGGCAGGTGGGAGGCGGGCTCATGGCGGGCTCTGGCTCTGTTGGTTGTAGGCAGTGGAGTTCCTGTCCAAGGCTGTGGACAGTCCAAACATCAAAGCAGTGGACGAGGCTGTGATCCTGCTCCAGGAAATTGGTGTGTGGGGGCTGGGCTGGGCCGAGCTGGGCTGGGGAGTGGCCCTTGAGGGTGGCACTGACAGCTGAGCCGTTGCAGGGGTGCTGGACCAGCGGGAGTACCTGACCACTCTGGGGCAGCGCCTAGCCCACATCTCCACCGACCCCCGGCTGGCCAAGGCCATAGTGTTGGCTGCCATCTTCCGCTGCCTGCACCCGCTGCTGGTGGTGGTTTCCTGCCTCACCCGGGACCCCTTCAGCAGCAGCCTGCAGAACCGGGCAGAGGTGGACAAGGTCAGTCCCGGCCCCTTCCTGGAACCCTCCACCCACTGGTGTCTTGAGGGGGCGTTGTCTAGCCCCTGCCCATGACCGGGCTATCCTCTTCTCCCCTCCCAGGTGAAAGCATTGTTGAGCCACGACAGCGGCAGTGACCACCTGGCCTTTGTTCGGGCTGTTGCTGGCTGGGAGGAGGTACTGCGTTGGCAGGATCGCAGCTCCCGGGAGAATTACCTGGAGGAAAACCTGCTCTATGCACCCAGCCTGCGCTTCATCCATGGTCAGCCGGTCCCACACCTGCTCTCCTGACCCCCTCCCACCCCTCCCACCCACACTGAGCTCCTGTCACCCCTAGCCTGTGGCTAGGAGCTCTAGGTTCACTGCACATTCTGTCTCCCTAGGACTCATCAAGCAGTTCTCGGAGAACATTTATGAGGCTTTCCTGGTGGGGAAGCCCTCGGACTGCACCCTGGCCTCTGCGCAGTGCAATGAGTACAGTGAGGAGGAGGAGCTGGTGAAGGGTGTGCTGATGGCCGGCCTGTACCCCAACCTCATCCAGGTGCTGCCTCTGGGAGGGAGTGGAGTTCACCAGGTTCCAGCCTCCTTCCCTGTCTGCAGCTCCTTGCTCAGCCCCACCTATCTTTTCCTCCATCCCTGCAGGTGAGGCAGGGCAAGGTCACCCGGCAGGGGAAGTTCAAGCCCAACAGTGTCACATACAGGACCAAATCAGGCAACATCCTGCTACACAAGTCGACCATTAACAGGTAGGGGCATACAGGCCTGGGTGGGGCAGCTGGGATGGTCCAAAAAAGTGGCCTCACCAGCCCTGTGTTCCCTAGGGAGGCCACACGGTTACGGAGCCGATGGCTGACGTATTTCATGGCGGTCAAGTCCAATGGCAGCGTCTTCGTCCGGGACTCCTCTCAGGTGCACCCGCTAGCTGTGCTGCTCCTGACCGACGGGGATGTGCACATCCGTGGTGAGTGCCTGCGGGCCTCCTGCCCGCCCCGCGCTGCAGCTGCTCCTCTGGGGCCTGGCCTCATCACAGCTCCCCACCGTCTTTTCTGTTCCCTAAGATGATGGGCGCCGGGCCACCATCTCACTGAGCGATAGTGACCTGCTGCGGCTGGAGGGCGACTCACGCACGGTGCGGCTGCTGAGGGAGCTGCGGCGGGCGCTGGGCCGCATGGTGGAGCGGAGCCTGCGCAGCGAGCTGGCTGCACTTCCCCCCAGCGTGCAGGAGGAGCATGGGCAGCTGCTTGCGCTACTGGCAGAGCTGCTGCGAGGACCCTGTGGCAGCTTTGACGTGCGCAAGACAGCTGATGACTGAGCCCTCCTTCTGCTGGGGCTGTGTACAGAGTGCAAATGTTTATTTAAAATAAAGTTCTATTTATCCCTTGTGAGCCCTGCTGTCCACTAGTGGGTCCTCCCTCAGGGCCTCTGTAAACTGGGCCACGGTTCCCCAAACAGGAAGGAGGAAGGTAGAGAGGAGAGATGATGTTTATTGCTGTGGACAGGAGCTGGCTGTGGCCCGAAGTCTTAAGAAGGGGGTTAGATTGGACACGTCTTTGTAGCAATGTGTAAGGAAAAAAAAAGGGTGGGGGGGTTAGAACCTCCCTGCTTCGCCAAGAGCACGAAGCAGCTGTGCTGTTACCCAACTCGGTCCTCCGGCACAGCTGCTGCTCTGGGTACCCACCACAGGGAGCCTGTCAGAACTGACACTGTCCTTGTAGTTTTGGAAAGTAAGTGTCGAGTAGCTCTTTACCTGGCAGACGGGGGGAGAGTTCTGCAGGTGGCCCTTCCTTAGCTCTCCGGCTGTATGGCACAGTGGTTCTTTCCGTGGCCATATCCACAAGTTCACAACTGAGGGGCTGAATGCCAAGGTCATGGAGATCACGTGCACACTGCATTCCAGTCCCTTGGTGCAAGGGGGTGCGCTGAGGCAGGAGGATCAGGGAGGTAGACGCAAACCAAGACAAACAGAAGCGTGGAGCCTGTGTGGTGGGACATCAGGCAGCTTTATTTACTCTTAAAACTGTTACACAGAATCACAGACCGACACAGGTAATGGCTGAGCCATAAGCAAATTGGGAAGTACAGAAACATCCCACCCCAAACAGCCGTGGAGTACACATCACACAGGGCCTCTGCTCCCGGCCTTCTCAGGTGCTCTGGCGTGCGGGATCCTTGAGGGAGCTATGACCAGATGACCTCTCAGAACTCGTGACCAGTCCTGCAGCCCACCTAGAGAACACTCCACTTGGGCCACCTCCTTCCCTCTAACCCTTGGTCAAAGGAGTGAAAGGACTTGGAGCCTGTCATCAACCTCAGCATCCTCATGACCCCAGGACATATGCAGCAGAGGCAGCAGGTACTCTGGGCCTGTGCTGTCACCTCTGTGGTGTCTCCTGACCACCCGACCCTTACTGCTTCCTTTCCAGTTTCAGCACAGCAGGCCCTTCCTCCTCCTGAGAAAACACTGGTTCCCTCATGTTCAGGCACAGCGAAAGCGCTCTGCACATGGTCTCTGAGGAGGAAAGCCGGTTCCCTGGGCTCAGGCAGCACTTCCTCCATGAGACCCTGCAGTCTCCTGGTGTGTGCCTGGGGAGCTGGGGACGTGGTGTCAAACCTCCCCAGGGCACTGCTGCCTCGGAAACGGGGAGGACCTGTCAGGCCCTGCACATGGAGATCACATCGAAGCCTAAGTCAACACCCCTACCTTCTCCAGCTCCAAGGGACCCCAGAACCAGAGAAGGGCAGAGGTCAGGAAGGGGCCTGCGGAGGCCAAGTCTGGGGCATCCTCAGGGGGCAATCTGCATTGCAGCCAATGCCCCTCCAGAGAAGCCCTTGGAATCTCCCAGGCCATTTCACTACAAACTTATGTTTTAATCCTTTATTAGAAACCATGCAAACTTTGATACAAAAAAATACAAGTGCAATAAGAATCTTTGTGTCAATATAGTTCCCGGGATTTCTCCTCACTGCAGCCATCCCAAGGCCTAGCTGGGCCTGGCCTCTCCTCCCTCCCCTCTCCAGTCAGGGCATTAAGGGAAGCAGATGGCCTTAGTCTCATGCCTTTTTACATTTCCAGACCTGATTTCCCACTATCTGCATGAGGCTCCCCTGGACATGAGGGCTTGCGTGTCCTAGGTTGCGGGTGCCGGCCCGAAGGATTTCCATCTCCTGGGCCCTTTTCTGTTCTAGCCCTGGCTGTCCTAGGGCTGACCACGACCAGATCCAGGGAATGGGACAGAGATGCCAAAACCAGCCTCTTGGTTAGAAAAGAAAAGCAGCATACACACAAAATGGCAAAACGACCAACCAGTCACCGCTCTACGAGCCCCTCGTGTGCCTGACCCGGTCACCAGCCACAGCCTCTGCACTCCTCTTCCTGCCACGCCACCTCCAGGGCCCTAACTGCCCACATCCTCCGGTGGGGGCAGCATAAGGATCTCCTCGCCCTGTCCCTCTAACACTTACTGAGGACTTTCACGTAGACATGGCTTCAACCTGCAGAACTATTTTGCCAGTTTTTAGGTTATTAGGAAAAAAAAAAAAAAAGACGAAATGTGACAGCAGCTAGGTGGGTATGTTAAGCATGGGGACAGCACTGGCCCCTAACTTGGGGCAGGGCAGCAAGAAGGGCCTGATACCACCTGCAGGGGAGGGGGATGCCTTTGTGAGGCCAAAAGGAGAGGCAGTGGCTTAAGCCCCAGGGTCAGCGTCCTGTCACCACTTGGAATCCGCCTCCACTCTTCCCTCCAGGGAGGGAGGGCATGTTTCTTTTGGGTTTGGACCAAAAGAACCAAACAAAGATGAGGGCAGAATCTGGTTCTCCCCTTTTAGATTCCAACTTAGCCTCAGCCACTCCAATCCCCTCCCAACCTCTCCACGGAGCAGTGGCGCAGTGATGGGACAAGACCAAAGCAGGGAGCTGGGCCCAGCCAGGAGCGAGAGGTGTGGGCGGGGCTGCTGCTGCCCCAGGGCGCAAAGCAGGAGGGAAGGCGAGCCTAGCGGGCTGCCTGGCGCCTAAGCGCTCACTGATCTAGTGGACAGCCCGGGAAAGGGGGCCAAAGACCCGAGAGCCTGAGTTGGGGCCACCAGGGAAGTGTGGGGGGCGGGAGACAATGTCGGCCCCATGGTCGGTGCGGGCCCTGGCGTTTGCCCGGAACGTCAGCCTGTAGGTCTCAATCTGCAGTGACATGGGAGGAGGGAAGGGAGAGGGGAACGAGGGAGACAAGAGGGGAACAGGGGAGACGGAAGACGAGACCAGAATGTCATCATTAGATGCCTGGAAAATAAAAGGTTCCATCGTTAAAATTTAGGCCATACTCTAGTCAAAAAACAAAGGAGTTTCAATTTGCGGCCAGTGGCAGGGCCCCTGGCTGGCCCTTAGGCCGAGCCCAGCCACTTACTTGTCTCCTGGATCTGGCTGTCCAAGGTCTGGGCCTCCCTTTGGTCAACACCCCCTGACAGGGTGGGGTGGCCACTGAGGCCACTGGCTGAAGTGGGGGCGCCAGCTTCAGGTGCTGCCTCAGAGATGGCCGGCTCCTCCCCAGCAGGGGGGCCCGGACACAGAGGAGCCTCGCTGCCACCGCCCTCAGTCTACAATGAAACAGTGGGGGAGACAGTGCAGGGTCAGTTGGGGGGGGAGTGGGATGGGGTGATGGTGGTGGGTTTGACACACAGCCCCCACCCGCGCTACCCAGGCACCCACTGGCTCAAGATACAGTCACTGTGGAGAATCCCAGGCAGGTGCCCAGCCCCACCCCACCCCACCCCACCAAGGGGACTGACTCCTGAGGGTCAGGAGCAGCTGGGCTAGCAACACACTCTCAGAGCCTCCCTGTGGCACACAAGGCTCTAATGAAGCTTCTCTGAGGGCAGAGGTGCCAGGCCTCGGGCTGGTACCACATAAGTAGCCATGGTTACAGTGAGCAACAAGCTTGAAGGGCAGCCCCACAAGGGGTGCAGCCCACCCTCCTGGACCCTCTCTGCACCCAGGCCACCCCTGCACACAGAGTGGGGTCCTCAGAAGCTCCCGGGCAGCCCTGCCTGCCCATCTGTCTGGTCAGGAATGCAAGCGCTGAGGCCTCGTCTGTGCCAGGCACCATTCTGGGACCAAGAGACCAAGGGACCAAGGGAGGCAGAAAGAAGGTGTCCAGGGAGGTGTAACTGAGGGAGACTGTGGGGGCCCAGAGGGCTCCACAGGACATTTGGGGGATATGGAGCACTCAGTGTGAGGAAGGCAGAGAAGGGAGAATAGCTCTGAGAGGCCACTGTGGAGCTGGAAAGCCTGTGTCACCAAATGCCCAAGAAGTGACAAGGGAGAAGTGGTTTCTAATCAGCAAAGTGAGAAAAGTAGGCCTTGATTAAAAAATAATTCCAGAACTCATAAGGAAAGGGAGATAATATGAATAAGGAAAAGAGCACAAGACTTGGGGTCAGAAATATCCCCAGATGTGAATCCTGGTTCACATCTTGCTTGCTGTGTGGCCTTGAACAAGAATCTAAAGCCAAGTTAATGCCCCACTGAGATGGGCGTGAGACTGGCATCCTCACAAGGTGTAGGGGGCATGAGTTGAGAGCCTGCGGCAGCAAGGACCCTCCAAATGTTCCTAGAAGCTGATCAAGGCGTGAGTCAGAGCATCAGGAGAGGATGGGACCAGGGACAGCCTAGGCCAGGCGTCCCCAAACTTTTTACACACGGGGCCAGTTCACTGCCCCTCAGACCGTTGGAGGGCTGCCACATACTGTGCTCCTCTCACTGACCACCAACGAAAGAGATGCCCCTTCCTGAAGTGCGGCGGGGGGCCGGATAAATGGCCTCAGGGGGCCGCAGTTTGGGGACGCCTGGCCTAGGCAGTGGCTGGCACTGGGGAGCAGAGATGGAGGAAGGGAAGGCCCAGAGCAGCTGCTCTCGGCCCCTCTCTGCTGCATACCCGAACCCCAGTAGCTGCAGCCATCCTCATGCTCGGGGCCTGCAAGATGCCCCTCATGGGCCCCCTACCCGCTGATGACATGGAACAAAGGACAGACAGCATCTTGGCACACAAAAGGTCTCACAGTACTGTGGAAGGAGGAAGGGAGGAAAGAGAGGAAAGAGGGAAGGGAGAAGAGGCCCAGCCAGTCCCACGGATGGGAAGCTCTGCCACTTGAGCTCGGTCCCAGAGGCCTGCACAGGCGGGCCCTGCAGAGGCAGCCTGCTGTGGCTGGCAGCTGAGAATGTGCTGTCCTGCTCCAGGGGTGGAGCCTGACATGGGGTGGAACCAACATTCCCCTCTTGCTCAAGGCAGGCGGGGAGAACTGTGTGGTGCAGAACCTCTGTTCGCCTGGTGGTGGTCTGTGTCCCAGCCTGTGGCCTTCTAAAATGGCTGGATTAAAAGGGCTAAATTAGGAAGGCCATGGCTCTCAGGAGCAAGGTTCTGCCTCCAGCTGACAGGTGAGAGGAGGCTGGGCTGGGGCCTCTTCACTTCTCCTACCTCAGTCAGGATTGATGATGCACGATGTGAAAACAGTGGTGTAGGTGAAGACATGACTCCTGAAGAGACTGAGTGGCGGTGACAGGTGCCTACCTGGGAGGACCCTGACCCTAGCTGCACAGTCCCCACCCCTCCCCAGCTGTATTTCCCCAGTGACCCACTCGCTACCTTCACGGCACCTCCGGCAGGTAGGTGGCCCACATTATCGAGGGATCCCACCTTGGCCTGGGCCTTCTCCTTGAAGTTCAATTTCTGACTTTCAATCTTGACATCTCCTCCACCTGGAACCACAAAGGAACTGGTCACCTAGAGTGGCAGAGGAACATCCCTGCAGGCAAAACCAGGACTGGTAATATGCCCAATCTAGAAATGAGAAAAATGTGATCTGCTTCTGGGTGGCAAACGAAGAGGAACAGTGAACATGCTTGTCTAAAGAGGGCTTTTCTTATCAAAGTGAGGCTGAGACAATCTCTCCGTCCAGCCAGTGGGAATACCTCCAAGAGAAGGAACGCCAGCTCTACCACTACCCCATGCCACATCCTCCAGGCTGAAGCCTCTGCTTCTCTGCTCGGTGTGGTAACTCCCTCCTGCTAACTGGGCCATGCAGTGCTTCTCAGGTACAGCCTCACTGAATTCTCATGAATGCCCTGTCATCACAGCCACGCTCCTTGCTTCACAGCTGGTAAAACTGATGCTGCAAAAGAGAAGCGACTTGCCCAGAGTTACCACCAATCTTGTGATTGACAGAGATTTGTCTGAGCTCCCTAACTGTATCACACTGTAAAGAAAAGAAGGGGCCGGGCACAGTGGCTCAAGCCTGTAATCCCAGCACTTTGGGAGGCTGAGGCGGGTGGATCACGAGGTCAAGAGATCGAGACCATCCTGGTCAACATGGTGAAACCCCGTCTCTACTAAAAATACAAAAAAAAATAGCTGGGCATGGTGGCGCGTGCCTGTAATCCCAGCTACTCAGGAGGCTGAGGCAGGAGAATCGCCTGAACCCAGGAGGCGGAGGTTGCGGTGAGCTGAGATTGTGCCATCGCACTCCAGCCTGGGTAACAAGAGCGAAAATCCATCTCAAAAAAAAAAAAAAAAAAAAAAAAAAGAAAAGAAGGAATGGTGAAAAGGAGAGAGTGGCCCTGCTGAGAAAGGAAAAACATGGACCAAGGCAGGCCCGGACCTAGTGCCCTCGGGCTGGGATGGGGAGGGAAGGTGGCCTGAACTCAAGCCCATGGTTCAGAGCCCACTGGCCAGAGTGTGGCCATGAGACCAAGGAGACGGGTGCGGGACACGTTGCCCTCCCTGAGGACCCAGCCCTTCCTGAGCCCAGCAGCGAGGCTCCCCTTGGGCATCTTCTCCTGTTCTTCTGTCTCCTCTCAGCTCACAGGGCAGACCTCTACCCCTGGACTCCTGGCTGAGGTCTCCGGTGTACCGCACTGGAGACCCAGCCCTGGCAGAAACTAGACCCTAAGTGACTCAGTGTCACCAGAGAAGGAAGTATCTCATAGGAGGAGATTTCTCAGATACAAGGGGAAAAAATGGTTAAGGACCAAACTGTTTTGATCTTTCTAAATAGAACACATTCCAAACTGGATCACACTCTTTTGCTGAGAGGAGAAGAGAGTTTTTTGTTTTTTTTTCCAGACAGAGTCTCACTCTGTTGCTCAGGCTGCAGTGCAGTGCCACAATCTTGGCTCACTGCAGTTTCCACCTCCCTGGTTCAAGCAATTCTCCTGCCTTAGCCTCCCAAGTAGCTGGGATTACAGGCATGCACCACCACACCTCGCTAATTTGTGTATTTTTAGTAGAGATGGGGTTTCACCATGTTGGCCATGCCGGTCTTGAATTCCTGACCTCAAGTGATCTGCCTGCCTTGGCTTCCCAAAGTGCTGGGATTACTGGTGTGAGCTGCTGTGCCCAGCCTGAGGGAAGGGAGTTCTGACTTTAATCAGCCTGTGGTGGCTAGTCTTCTGGGACACCAGGTCTGCTGGCCAGTATGCCTGCTGCTGCAGCAGTCCTTCCCTACCCACGAATCTGCTGTAGACCCAGGAACTAGGACACATGAGGCTGCCAGGGTACTACCCATGGCAAGACTCCAGGCTCTGCAGAGAGACTTCCACAGGCGCGCTGGGTCAGCCATGTTGCTAGAAGGAGGCTGCATTAGTGCAAGTGCAAGATCCATGTAGGGAACATTCCCGTGTGAGACCCCCAAAACGGTCCCCGACATCTGGCGACCACGAAGGTCGCCGACAGATCCACGTCTGTAGGCCAAGAAAACTTTGTTGAATGCCTCCCATTCTCCTGCCAGGGCTAGAGGCTGATGCTTCACTGCTTGGGAGTACCCTTTGCTCCTGAATCTGACCAGTGGGACCTGACCACTGTTCTCTACAGAGCTCCTTCAGCATTAATTCCTATAACGCTTGTTCAGAGCCAACCCAGGTTCTCAGCCCAGAGTGCACCTCTCTCCCAGGCCTAGCTCAATCGTACCACTCACACGGTAGGTACTCAAGAGAATGCTTGTGCAGATGGCAGTAGTAACAATTGCTCCTCGTCCACTGAGAGGTTAGCACCTGAACTCCCGCTCCCTGACAGAATGAGGACTGTGTTGTTCCCACTGCTGTGTCCTGGGTAGGTGTGTGTTGACGAGTCTTCATGGGATGCTAAAGGCACAAGGACGAAACCCTTGCCAGCCAGTGGGCTACCCAGCTGGCCCATGGCAGGACTACATACCCCAGGAGTCCCAGTGGGCAAGGGGGGGGGGCGCCACTCACCAGGCTTGTGCTTGATGTTAGCCTTAGACCCACACTTGGAGGAGACCTTAGAGATGTCCACTTTCTTGTTCTGAATCTGAACCTGAGGAGGACACAAAAGACTTCTTCAGAGAGAGGGTTTATTTTCAGAGCCAATTCCATGCTACCTTTTAAATCTCCATCTTCAGGGTTTCTCTCTCCCTCTATAAGCTGCTATCTCAGTCTGTTCAAAGACAGGGTCACCCGTCTAAGTACTTAAAACAGCCCTCAACCCACCCTGGCCCTGCTCTTTTTAGACAAAGTCTTGCTCTGTCGCCCAGGCTGGAGTACAGTGGTATGAGCTTGGCTCACTGCAACCTCTGTCTCCGGGGTTCAAGCAATTCTCCTGCTTCAGCCTCCCAAGTAGCTGGGATTACAGGCATGCGCCATCACACCTGGCTAATTTTTTGTATTTTTAGTACAGACAGGATTTCACCATGTTGGCCAGGCTGGTCTTGAACTTCTGACTTCAGGTGATCCACCCGCCTCAGCCTCCCAGAGTGCTAGGATTGCAGGTGTGAGCCACCATACCCAGCCTTCACCGTTTCCACGCTCCACAGGCCTTTTCGTGCAGACCCTGTCCAACACCAACACCAAGGCTCCCATCTCAAAACCCTACCCATCAACTTACGTATCGTGCGTGTGTGTGTGTGTGTGTGTGTGTCTAGTATTCCTGCTTAATCCATGTTATAACAATTTTTCCAGCCAGGTTCAGTGGATCACGCCTGCAATCCTGGAATAACGTATCGTGTGTGTGTGTGCGTGCGTGCACGCGCGCGTTTCTGTCTGTTTACTATTCCTGTTTAATCCATGTTATAACAATTTTCCAAGCCAGGTGTAATGGATCATGCCTGCAATCCCAGCATTTCGGAAGGCCGAGGCAGGAATATCACTTGTGGCCAGGAATTCGAGGCCAGCCTGGCCAACACAGTGAAACCCTATGTCTACTAAAAATACAAATATTTGCATTTAAAGATGGTGCATCTTTAAGTCTATAGCCACGCGTGCCATCTGGGTTGCTGGATGGGGATTCCAGCATTCCTGTGAGTGGCCCTGCTGTCCTTTGGTAGGTACTACAGGAGAGCATGGATTCCAACACGTCAACTCCACAGAGTGTTGCACCATTCTGGTGGGTTCCACCACAATCTGTTAAAGGGTGAACAACCTTCCCGAGCCCTGTCTTCCTTTCTCTGGTGTCAGGAAATATGGTCTTCACCATGTTCCCATAGGACAGATATAATGCCACCTGTATTTTTGTATTTGTACCCACAGACCAAGGCCTGGCACAGAATAACTACCCATAATTACTAGCTTGCCAGAGCCATTCTCACTCTTGCCTCTAAAACTCGGCTCATGCCTAACCCAGCAAGCCTATGATGTTTTCTCCCCCATCCTCCAATGCCCAGTTCAAAGGGTCCCTTCCATTAAGCCTTGCATAGCTCTTGCTTCGATCTATCCCTTCCTCACATCATCTCTTGAAGGGACACCACGAGGGATTATACTGTGATTGCTTCAGGTGTCTGATAATCACATAAAGAGTAGTTACTACTGTGAAAACACACAGCCTCTACCTTGTCTCATCTTTTCAAAAAGTCTGCAATTTTCCCTAGACATAATTTTTTTTCTTTTCTCCTCATTACACAGATATTTACAGGTATCTCCAAAATGGAAGTTTAGGATACAGCACAGATACCCCTTCTAAGTATGAGCTGATGGCAAATGGAGCCCTGCAGCTGCAGAGCTGCTGGTCACACCACTGTAAGTGCTTTATCTGGGTTTACAACAAGATATCTTGTTATTTGTTAGGGGAAGAAATGGCCAATTCAAGAAGAGGGACCATGAAGTCCTCATCCAAACATCTCCCTATCCTTATCCCTCATGAGAGTGGCATAAGGAAGGGCACTTTACAGCCAAAGATCTGGTAGTTGCTTAAAGCAACCCAACATGGGTCTTGATGCAGTGGTGACAAGCTCATCTTGCACTGTAACCACAACAGCACCTGCAAGAAGTTAACAGAGTCACTCTCCAAGGCCTGGGCCCTTACCAAGATGGAGAGCCACACATTTCTTTTGGTTTTGAGACAGGGTCTCACTCTATCGCCCAGGCTGGAGTCCAGTGGCATGATCTCAGCTCACTGCAGCCTCAACCTTGAGCCCAGACTCAAGTGATCCTCCTGCCTTAGCCCCTCAAGTGGCTAAGACTACAGGCACATGCCACCATGATCAGCTAATTTTTGTATTTTTTGTAGAGATAGGGTTTTGCCATGTTGCCCAGGCTGGTCTTGGATTTCTGGGCTGAAGCAATCCACCTGCCTTGGCCTCCCAAAGTGCTGGGATTACAACTGTGAGCCACTGCATTGGCCAGAGCCACAGATTTCTTGACAGTGTTCCGTATTTGAAGCCTGTATCTCTTGACCTCTTGTCTAGTTCGCAATTAAAGAATGGTTAAGGGCAGTTTCACTTTACAGATGTATTCTAGCTAGTAAATCAAGAAGTAATACTAGAATTAGAGTCTTACCATGGCATGCCTACTGAACTCACAGGTCCAGGAATTGCCAACATCATAAAAAATGAGACAATTGAAGAATAAGACATGAATGTTACTTCTCACAGAATAAACTTCATTACCTACTTACATGTCATGCTAGCATGTGGGCAAAAAACCAAACCTAAATAAATTTAAAGAAAATTGAGGGACAAAGGAATATGTTAACTAAAACCATGAGGATGTAAGGCCAGGCGCGGTGGCTCAAGCCTGTAATCCCAGCACTTTGGGAGGCCAAGGTGGGTGGATCACGAGGTCGAAAGATCGAGACCATCCTGGTCAACATGGTGAAACCCCGTCTCTACTAAAAATACAAAAAAAACTAGCTGGGCGTGGTGGTGCACGCCTGTAATTGCAGCTACTCAGGAGGCTGAGGCAGGAGAATTGCCTGAGCCCAGAAGGCGGAGGTTGTGGTGAGCCGAGATCGCGCCATTGCACTCCAGCCTGGGTAACAAGAGCAACACTCTGTCTCAAAAAAAAAAAAAAAAAAAACCATGCGGATGTAATTAGCAGAATCCATATTCAAGGCCAAACCATTCATTTTACTCATCAGGAAAATTATCAGCAAAAAAAGAATGAGTCAGGGATGGTGGTTCACGCCTGTAATCCGAGCACTTTGGGAGGCTGAGACAGGTGGATCATTTGAAGTCAGGAGTTAAAGAACAGCTTGGCTAACATGGTGAAACCAAGTCTATGAAAAACACAAAAGTTAGGTGGGGCGCAGTGGCTCATGCCTGTAATCCCAGCACTTTGCGAGGCTGAGGTAGGTGAATCTCCTGAGGTCAAGAGTTCGAGATCAGCCTGACCAAAATGGCAAAACCCCATCCCCTACAAAAAATACAAAAATTAGCTGGGTGTAGTGGCAGGTGCCTGTAGTCTCAGCTACTCGGGAGGCTGAGACAGCAGAAATCTTGAACCCAGGAGGTGGAGGTTGTAGTGAGCTGCTACTGTGCAACTGCACTCCACCCTGGGTGACAAAGTGAGACTCAGTCTCAAAACAAAAAACAAAAAACAAAACAAAACAAAAACCAAAAGTTAACTGGGTGTGGTAGTGCACGTCTATAATCCTGGCTACTCAGGAGACTGAGGCAGGAGAATCAATTGAAACTGGGAGGCAGAGGTTGCAGTAAGTCAAGATCAAGCCACTGCACTCCAGCCTGGGCGACAGAACGAGACTCTGTCTCAAAACAACAACAACAACAACAACAACAACAACAACAACAACACCCTATGTATCCCACACCATGAAACAGATGTGACTTCTGACATAAGAATCCTACATTGGGGGCCGGATGCAGTGGCTCACATCTGCAATCCCAGCACTTTGAGAGGCTGAGACAGGTGAATCACGAGGTCTGGAGATCGAGACCATCCTGGCTAACATGGTGAAACCCCGCCTCTACTACATATACAAAAAATTAGCCGGGTATGGGGGCACACACCTGTAGTCCCAGCTGCTTGGGAGGCTGAGGCAGGAGAATCACTTGAACCCATGAGGCGGAGGTTGCAGTGAGAGCTGAGATTGCACTACTGCACTCCAGCCTGGGCGACAGAGGACTTTGTCTCAAAAAAAAAAACAAAAAACAAAAAAAAAAACAAAGGAAGTCCTATGTTAGGAATACATCCTAAAGAAATAACTTGAAATTTAAAGCTTTTCATACAAAATCATTACTATTGTTAATTTTCTTTTCTTAGATGGAGTCTCGCTCTGTCGTCCAGGCTGGAGTGTAATGGCACGATCTGGGCTTACTGTAACCTCTGCCTCCCAGGTTCAAGTAATTCTCCCACCTCAGCCTCCTGAGTAGCTGGGATTACAGGTACATGCCACCACACCTGGCTAACTTTTGTATTTTTCGTAGAGACAGAATTTCACTGTGTTGGCCAGGCTGGTCTCAAACTCCTGACCTCACGATCTGCCTGCCTTGGTCTCTCAAAGTGCTGATAAAAATATTTTAGGCTGGGCTCAGTGACTCACGCCTGTAATACCAGTACATTGGGAGGCCTTTTTTTTCTAGAGACGGAGGGTCTCACTATGTTGCCCAGCCTGAGGGCTCACCATTTTAAACTGCATATTTGCTTGTGGTGGCTTTAGGGCGGAGGCTATGGAAGGAAACAAAGCACCTGGGTCCGGCTGTGGCCAGCTGCTGTTTACCCTCATCCTCCCTCTGGGAAATACTGCTCACAGTAGTCTCCTAATGCTCTGTTTAAGGAAACATCCTAAAGTACAAAGGCTTTAAAAATACATTCGCCTTCAAAAAAAAAAAAAAAAAAAAAAAACCAACCAAAAAAAAAACCCTACACATGTGAAGTCCTGTGTAGGCAGTGTGAAAAGATCACAGCAGGTGATACATAAATGATGACTATTTTCAGAGCTCTTATATTCACCACACAACATACACAAATACATCTCTATGTCTCACCTACACAAATGACTCGGTTCCCTCAGAACCCCTGTTCACCTTCTGTTTTCATCCAGGCCGAAGCCAGGAGAAGCCAGGAGAAGCCAGGCTCAGCAGCTGCCTGGGCCCCTCATGAGCTGGATCTTTGTCACCTCACTTCAGCTGATCCCGTGCCGGGCTGACTAATGTCTGGTTGGCCAACTCCACTCGAGGATGCCATTTCTACCCAGACCAGGAAGAGGCAGTGGTGAGAAGATGACAAGGAAGGAGGGGTAAGAAGGAGAGCTGTGTGGGGCAAGAATGAAAGCTCATGGCCACATTCCTCACAATAGAACTGCTGGGGGTGTCTGTAGGCCATGGGCAGAATGTCATGACCACCAAGGAGGAGGCAGGGGTGTTACAGAGTATAGAAATGAAAAGGGTTAAGTGGAGCAGGACCTAGTCTGGTTCAGGACAGCAAAGAGAAAGAACCAAATGAACTCAAAAGAAATGGAGGCAGGGGTCGTGCGTGGTGGCTTCTGGTGCCTCTAGCACAACTCCACAGAGTGCCACTTGCCTGGGAACTGTGACGGTGACAAGTGGAAAGTGCACAGGGTGTTCTTCACACACTAAACAACAGTAAGACTTTGCCCTATCTCTCCCTAGACCAGAACCTCCCTGTGAGCTGGGATCACTTGTTTCCCCAACACATATCATAGAGCCGGCACACAATGGCAGCATGACAAAAAGAAAGATGGTTGGCTGGAAGAGGAAAGAGGGAAAAAAGATAAGGAGGGAAAAGGGACTGAAGAAGGAAGGAGGGGAAGAAAAAGGAGGAAGGGGCTGGGCGAGGTGGCTCACGCCTGTAATCCCAGGGCTTTGGGAGGCCGAGGCGGGTGGACCACAAGGTCAAGAGATCAAGACCATCCTGGCCAACATGGTGGAAACCCTGTCTCTACTAAAAATACAAAAAATTAGCTGGGCGTGGCAGCGCACGCCTGTAGTCCCACCTACTCGGGAGGCTGAGGCAGGAGAATTGCTTGAACCCAGGAGGCAGAGGTTGCAGTGCAGTGAGCTGAGATGGTGCCACTGCATTCCGGCCTGGCAACAGAGCGAGACTCTGTCTCAAAAAAAAAAAAGGAAGGGATTAGAAAAGGGGAAAAAAAAGGAAAAGTAGAAAGGGAAATGGGAGAAGGTAGGGAGAGAAAAGAAGAAAGAGGAAAAAGAGAGGTGGAGAGCAAAAAGATAAAGGAAAATGCGGGGAAGGGATAGGAGAAAAATGTTAATTTTGATTTTATAGTAACAAGGATTCAAAAGTGAGCTCTGGGAAGATCTGGACATCTGTCTCAGAGCAGGGACTTCTACGGCAATTCAAGGGCATGCAGACACACATATGTATGCCCAGAATGCACTCTGGACAGGCAACAGGTCTGCTGCTAACCACTGCCCTCAGACCAGGATCTGACATAGCCGGAGGAAAATCCAAACCCTCCCACCCACAGGGTTGAAAAGCTACCCAGTGGATATCACCATGCTGGTGTTCAGAGGCTCGCCAGAAACACCCTGTCTAAACATATGGGAGTTTTGAGGTCCCCTCATTTTGCTAGACTGCTTGTTAGAGAACGCCCCAGCTCAGGACACTGGGATTCTGTCTACATGGGCACCTGGCCCTCTCCCCAGTACAACCTCACAGTGGGCTATGCCTCAGATTCCGGCTAACCAGAGCTGATACTTACATTACCACCTCCAGGGACATGCTTAATATTGTCCTTGGAACCACACTTGGACTGAATATGGCTGTAGCTCACTTTTTTGGAGACTATCTGGACCTGGAGTGTTAGAAAACAGAAAAAACAACACAAAGGGAGAGGACTGGTTAGAACCGACATAGGGCAGGCAGTGAGTCTACATGTGATCACAATGATCAACATAAAGTGTTGTTAAACCTCCACCCCCACCTTCTGCACAACAGGTGTGGAAAAGCAGGTGTGGAAAAGAAATGTGAAAGAGCAAGAGGGGAGTGAGAAACATGAACAGACAACACGACAAGAGGAGCAGAGCTGCACAGGCGCTGCATGTTGGTCATCACCACCCCTTGGGGGCAGAGCTGTGGTGCACAAGGACCAGGCAGCAGCAGGCCCCTGATGCCTAACCAAGCACAGCCCCACCTCCTTGCTCGGCTCCCTTCTCAAGAGCTGGGCACAGTGTCCTTGGCTCTTCTCTGCAAGAGTCCTATCATGTGGACCTGTTCTCATCCAACAAGGGTGCTTCCCTTAAATCTGGGCTCTGGAATGGCTGCAGCCAAACCCACTCTCAGAAGCAAAGGCTGCTCTGAGAAGCACTGGGCAGCTGGCAGCAAGGGCACAGATGATACTAACAGGAAGAAGAGGTCATTGCTCAGATGTGAATACAAATGGATACAGAATCTCCGATACCAGGGGAGCAGCTGCAGCCTCCATACTTAGCCCATTTGTCTTAGGGCTCGAGAAAGCATAGTAGTTTTGACTCAAGGGTAAAATATCTTCTTGAATCCTCCATATGCCTAGTCCTCTACCCTGCAAGATTTCCATGAGGAAAGAACAGGCTCTAAGCAGGGCAGCAATGCTACCCAATGCTGGAGGCACAGTCACACTGTATAGTACAGAAATGGCTCCCTCTGGAACTGAGAAACACCAAGGCCCTGGCTCTAAGAGTGTAGAACAAAGAATCCTAGGACCTTCTCAAGAAGGAATAGTTGCCAATTCCCTTTCTTTGCAAATGATGCAACCCCCTGGCTGACAAGTTCAGAGTACAGAAATCCATCCTGAGAACTCCAACCCACAGACCTCATTGTACCTATTCATTTCTAGCCCTTTTCAACACTTCGATGGTGAACAAGTGGTTATCACACTACTTTTTTTTTTTTTTTTTTTTTTTTTGAGACGGAGTTTCGCTCTTGTTACCCAGGCTGAAGTGCAATGGCGCGATCTCGGCTCACCGCAACCTCCGCCTCCTGGGTTCAGGCAATTCTCCTGCCTCAGCCTCCTGAGTAGCTGGGATTACAGGCACGCGCCACCATGCCCAGCTAATTTTTTGTATTTTTAGTAGAGATGGGGTTTCACCATGTTGACCAGGATGGTCTCCATCTCTTGACCTCGTGATCCGCCCGCCTCGGCCTCCCAAAGTGCTGGGATTACAGGCTTGAGCCACTGCGCCCGGCCCACACTACTTCTTAATGAGCATTGATTGGTCTGAACCTAGGACCTCTAGCAGTCACTCAGAAGCCATGTTGTAGCCTTCTTTACCATATGAATGATTTGGGCTGAGACTTCCCATGCTGGTCCCAAAAGGCTGGAGCTTAGGCTTCTCTGGTAGAGAAGCACACCTACCGGCAGTGGCTAAGGATGGAAGGTGTTGCAAGCACCCAGGAAGAACCTGGATTCCAGTACAGAGGCAAGGGGAAAGAACCTATGGTTTCAGCTTACCTCTACCCTCCAGGTGATGCTGCATGCCTATACTAAGTGGGTTTCCATTGGGAATGAGCGTCCTAACTTGCAGTTAAGAGGCAACCTGGGAAACCAGGACAAATGACGTTATCTCCATACCCAGCAGCGTTATCAGAGGGATCTTTTAGTTCAAGGTAAAGCACAGGGTCTCCAGGGTTCCAGGTGGTGGAAATTACCCCTGCCACAGTCTTCCTGATAACGAACATGGCTGTGCTGTATTTGCATCTATACCACATAGGTTTCACATCAAGGTCAGTGAGAAGGAAGTGAATGAAAGTCTTTGGATTCACTTTAACCAGCCAAAAAAAAAAAATTATCGCCGGGCGCGGTGGCTCAAGCCTGTAATCCCAGCACTTTGGGAGGCCGAGGCGGGTGGATCATGAGGTCGAGAGATCGAGACCATCCTGGTCAACATGGTGAAACCCCGTCTCTACTAAAAATACAAAAAATTAGCTGGGCATGGTGGCATGTGCCTGTAATCCCAGTTACTCAGGAGGCTGAGGCAGGAGAATTGCTTGAACCCAGGAGGCGGAGGTTGCAGTGAGCCGAGATCGCGCCATTGCACTCCAGCCTGGGTAAGAAGAGCGAAACTCCGTCTCGGAAAAAAAAAAAAAAAAAAAAAAAAAAATTATCCAAAGGGCTAATAGGCTCCCAACTCTATAGAAAAACTTTTCTGATGGCTGAGTCATCAAGTACAGAGAAGGGAATATGAGGGTTAAGAAATAGAAACTACTAAAGGATACGGAAAAAGTGCAAGAGAGGGCAAGTGGCTCAGGCTGGAAGAAGTATTTTACCATCTTCACCTTCCAGAGATGGGTCTAAATAAAACTCACTTTCCCCGCAGGTGGTTTCTGTGCACTTGCAATTGGGCCGGCTGTTTTAGTGACTGCATTAGATTCAGGTTTTCGAGTTGTAGCAGCTGCCTCTGATTTTTTCTCTACTTTGGCCTGGATGGAGATAAAGGGAGGGCAAATTTCAAATCAAGAGGATAAGAGCTCGAATGCCAAGAAGGGAAGAAGGCTGTAGGGGACTCAAATTCAGGTCAGGCCACGAGGCAAAAGCAGGTGGCCTTTGATCCTAGCAAAACCACACATTTCCCAGGTTAGACCAACCCACAGATCCTTGAGTAGAGGACCACAAAAAAGAGGAGCTACAGACCACAGTCTTGAGACATGAGGAACAGATCAAGACACAAAGAAAGGCTAAGAGAACTAAACCAGTGATTCTTAGATCGTGCTAGGGCACGATTTTCCAATTACAATGCCCACCCCCCATGCCCAATGTTCTGATAGGCCCCAAGCAGCTGCCACGGTCACAGGGAGTCAATACTGATGACAGAAAGTGTCACATGCTTCAGGTAGGTATGCTAGAGCAGAAACAATTCACTAGACCAAGTCACTCAACTCCCCAGCCGAGACCTCTTGTAACGTTTGCACCATGAAACCGTAAGAGCAAAGGCAGGGGGAAACAGGCCATCGCAGCACAGCCCAGAGGCCTGCTGGGCATGCCAGAGCCACTGTTGCTACCAAAAGCAACTTTCAGGCTCTTATCCAGACTGATCCCAGCTTGCCATCAGAGTCTTCCAGTGACACCAGGATTCCGCCTCATTTTTGTCCCTCCTAAATTTCTTAAGAGCTCTAGATTAAGCAATTTAAATATCCTGCCCTGGATGGTGGTGGTGGTGTAGAAATGGTGAATACCTAGGAGATGAGATGGTCACTGCTCCAGGAACCTGAACATTCTCAGATGGACTTTGATCACCATCTTTTCACACACAGAGTTCCCATGGTTAAAAGTTAAATAATTCGCCGGGCGCGGTGGTTCAAGCCTGTAATCACAGCACTTTGGGAGGCTGAGGCGGGTGGATCACGAGGTCAAGAGATCGAGACCATCCTGGTCAACATGGTGAAACCCCGTCTCTACTAAAAATACAAAAAATTAGCTGGGTATGGTGGTGCATGCCTGTAATCCCAGCTACTCAGGAGGCTGAGACAGGAGAATTGCCTGAGCCCAGGAGGCGGAGGTTGCGGTGAGCCGAGATCGCGCCATTGCACTCCAGCCTGGGTAACAAGAGCGAAACTGTCTCAAAAAAAAAAAAAAAAAAAAAAGTTAAATAATTCTGGGATTGGCTGGGTACAGTAGCTCACACCTGTATCCCAGCACTTTGGGAGGCCAAGGTGGGCGGATCACAAGGTCAAGAGATAAAGACCATCCTGGCCAACATGGTGAAACCTCATCTCTAGTAACAATACAAAAGTTAGCTGGGCATGGCAGCATATGCCTGTAGTCCCAGCTACTTGGGAGGCTGAGGCAGGAGAATCGACTGAACCTGGGAAGCAGAGGTTGCAGTGAGCCGAGATTGCGCCACTGCACTCCAGCCTGGTGACAGAGTGAGACTCTGTCTAAAAAATAATAATTCTGGGACTGATGCAACTGGAAAATCCTAAAAGTGAAGCACTGTGATCTGCTGTGCCTTTCTCCCTATATCCAGTGCAGTCCTGTTGTTTAGGAAGGCCAAAGGCTCGCATGACTCCTCCTGGCCACAAGAGGATACCTTAGTCCTCTTTCAGATAGATTCCACTCAAGTCATGGGTTGTGGAACTAAGAGGTGTTCTACCTTCTGCCTATCCTGACATTCTCTGTGCAGGGTAAGAATCATGAAAAATGGCTGGGCGCAGTGGCTTACTCCTGTAATCCCAGCACTTTGGGAGGCTGAAGTGGATGGATCACAAGGTCAGAAAATCGAGACCATCCTGGCTAACACAGTGAAACACCTCTCTACTAAAAAAAAAAAAAAAATTAGCCAAGCATGGTGGCATGTGCCTATAGTCCCAGCTACTCGGGAGGCTGAGGCAGGAGAATAGCTTGAACTCGGGAGGTGGAGGTTGTGGTGAGCTGAGATCATGCCACTGCACTCCAGCCCCAGTGATAGAGCCAGACTCTGTCTCAAAAAAAAAAAAACAACAACAAAACAAGAACCATGAAAAACTAGGCTTGCCAGGTGCGGTGGCATGTGCCTGTAGTCCCAGCTACTCAGGAGGCTGAGGTGGGATGATTGCTTAAGCCCAGGAGTTCTGGGCTGTAGTGCACTATGCCGATTGGGTGTCCACACAAAGTTCAGCATCAGTATGTGACCTCCTGGGAGTGGGAGACCAGCAGGTTGCCTAAGGAGGGGTGAACCGGCCCAGTTTGGAAATGGAGCAGGTCAAAACCCCCCCGTGCTGATCAGTAATGGGATCGTGCCTGTGAATAGCCACTGCACTCCAGCCTGGGCTACATAGCAAGATCCCATCTCTTTAAAAAAATAAAATTAAAAGAAAAAAAAGAAAAAGAAAAACTAGGCTGTCTCTCATGCTTGCAGAGTCTCTGAGGCCTCCTCTGTTTCTTCTATAAAAGAAAGAACTCCCCCACCCCACTGCTTTTTTTTTCTTTGAGATGGAGTCTCGCTCTGTTGCCCAGGCTGGAGGGCAGTGGTGTGATCTTGGTTCACTGCAACCTCTGCCTCCTCGGTTCAAGCAATTCTCTGCCTCAGCCTCCCAAGTAGCTGGGATTACAGGCGCCCGTCACCGTGTCTGGTTAATTTTTATCTGCATTTTTTTTTTTTTGAGACGGAGTTTCGCTCTTGTTACCCAGGCTGGAGTGCAATGGCGCGATCTCGGCTCACTGTAACCTCCGCCTCCTGAGTTCAGGCAATTCTCCTGCCTCAGCCTCCTGAGTAGCTGGGATTACAGGCACGTGCCACCATGCCCAGCTAATTTTTGTATTTTTAGTAGAGACAGGGTTTCACCATGTTGACCAGGATGGTCTCAATCTCTTGACCTCGTGATCCGCCCTCCTCGGCCTCCCAAAGTGCTGGGATTACAGGCGTGAGCCGCTGCGCCCGGTCTTTATTTGTATTTTTAATAGAGATGGGGTTTCACCATATTGGCCAGGCTGGTCTTGAACTCCTGACCTCATGATCTACCTACCTCAGCCTCCCAAAGTGCTGGGATTACAGGTGTGTGACCCACTGCACCTGACCAGAATCCTTTTACATCCAAGCAAAACTGTAAACCCAGACCTCAACAACTAGAACAGGAGCCTCTCTTACTGAGACAGGAAGAGAAAGCCCAGAGCTCTGCCTACTCTGCTTTCCTGCTGCTGGGGCACAAAACCCACTATGGAGCCCAGGCTGAAATATCCTGACACTGAGTCCAATGTCCTAACTGCCCCCTTCTTTGGTGGGCCTAGGAACAGCGGGTGGAGATGGAGGAGAGGATTCAGGGGCCAGTAATGCCAGGACCCCAAGCTCCCTGGACCCACCCGGCCTCCTCCAGGTTGATGCTTGATGTTTTCCGTGGAGCCAACCTTGGAGCGGACATTCTTCAGATCAGGAGCAGAAGCATTGGTGGCCAGGCGGCTGAGTCTGGGGGTGGTGGAGCTGGGCTTGGCTGAGGTGGGCTTCTTGTCCATGGAAGGAGTTGTGGAGGGCCGAGACGGCATAGGTGTGGGCTTGACTCGGGTGGGAGCCACCCCTGCAGCAGGGCCTGTCCCACCAAGAGTGGTGGTTTTCTTCATGGAACTGGTGGAGGTGCTCTTGGGGCGACTCAAGTCAGCTGCAAAGGAGTGAGAGAACACGGGTTCAGTGGCAGAGAGAAAAACGGACACATAGTGCACATAGGAGGAGGAACTGGGGGTTCAAGTTAGGGCTCTACAAAATGGCGGATGGGCTATTACCTGGAACAGACTTTGCAGTCATCTTCTTGACTTCTGCAGGTTTTCCCTCAGTCTTAATGGCTGTACAAAATATACTTATTAATATAACATTTAGCAAACTGACCTGTTGGATGGCGCATCCAATATTGAGATTTCTCATTATTTAACAATTACTGAATGTCTACTTTGAGCCAGGAACTGTGTTAATCCCTGGGAATGGAGTGGTAAATTAGATGGCCAGGCACTGTGTCTTATTCTTTCCTACTGCCCTGAAAATGCCTTCTATGTGGCCTTAGAAGTAGGCTGTCAATACATGCCTATGGACTTGAGTAGCCCTCATCATGTAAGTCCATGACCACAAAGTGCTAGGTGCTATGGAGTTACTAAGAAGGCAAGAGTAAATTCTACCTGGGAATACATGAGCAGTACCTTTTTCTTTCTATTTTCACTCAAGATTTTTCTGAATACACGCAACTGCTAAGCTCACAGAGAGATGAAGGCTTGTTAAGTACCAGGCCCACCAGGCTACTATTGTTCCAGGCAGCCCACTCAGGACTGGTGCCTAAGCAGGCCTGCAGAGCTGTTTGTGATGCTAGCTAGAGCAATGGTCAAGGCAAAGCCAAGACCCCATTTTCCACTCCCTAGTTCCCATGGGAGAGAAAGACAGGCAATACTCACTAGTGGGCTTCTTGGGTAGGAGCGTGGAGGGGCTCCTACTGCTTGGCCCAGTTGAGGCAACAGCGGTAGCTGTTGTGGCTTTTGGAACAGTCTGAGTGCTTTTGGATCCAGATCTGGAGGCTGGGGCAGAAGCTGGCTTGGATGGTGAGGCCCGCTTCTCAGGAGCCTTTGCTTCTGCAATGGGCTGGAAATAAGGAAAGTGGGAGTGAGGCCTGGAGGGCAACAATAGTCCTAGGCAGTCACACTACAAGATGCTTCTATACAAGCATGTACCAGAGAACAGCAGGTACTGTGGGTTCAGCAGCTACTGACAGGAAAATATATATGGTTCTAAGAGCAAAATCCTCCACATAAAGCAACAAACTGGCCAGGTAGGGTACTATGTGATCTGAGGGCAGGTAACAGGGAGTAAAACGACTTCAATCCAACCTAAGCCAGTGAGAATAAGTAGCCCTGAAGGGTACATCACCACAACCTACATTTGCCTCTGGATCTACTGCATTATGTATTAATATATATGAATATATACTTTAATGTAACCTCTGTAGAAATGCCAAAAATACTAATGTATTTAATGTAACAAAATCTAATGTATTAGACTTAAGATTAAACACATACACAAACAAAAAACCAAAAATTGTGTTCAGTCAAATTGAGCCATTCTTTTGGCTAACACACACCTAGAGAATACTGAACAGGACTGAGCTGCAGATGGAGAGGCCACTGGCCAAATCTGGGCCAGAAGCATGAGCTGCAGCCCTACTCCAACAAATCACTGAGCCTCTGAGCTTTATTTCCTCATTGGAATAGAGATTAGAACAGAAGGTCATTAAGGACCAGCTTTGATAATATGTGATGTCAGGGAATAAAGTATGAAAGGTCTCAGCACAGAGATGATGATAAGAGGGAGTCCAGACCAACAGAAGGGATAAAGAGCACTGATATCACAGCTATGGTCCGAGAGCAAAAGAGAAAAAGTCTCTCAAGGGTAGATGCTTGGCATCTGGGCCACTTGAGTTCCTTTTACATGAAGGCTGGGAACAACATCACTAGTAAGGAAGGGAAAGAATCAATTTAGCCTGGTTTCTATGGGGATAGGGGATGAAGACACTATTGTGACAAACAAATGTACCATATTACTCAAGAGAGTAAGCCAAACCACAGACACACTGGGCCCAGCTCTCTTCCTCCAAGAGAAGTGGCTATACAGAGGGCAGTATGTAGGTAGAGACAAGCAGGATATTGTTAAATGGAAAAATCAGCTAAGGAGGTACTTAGAAATTAAGGGCTGGCATCCAATCAAATGAAGTCTAACTCTGCAAATGTAGGATAATGACTATTTCCACAAATGAAGGCCCTAAGTACGGTGTGAAGAACTCTAAGGCTAGAATCAGGGTAAGTGGTTCTGCTACCAGCTCTGCTGGAAACGGAGGATTTTGGGCAGAGGGGTTCCCTTTCCTATTGCTCTAAAATTTGAGGACTAAACCAGATGCTCTCTGGGATGTGCATCAAAATTTTAACACTATGACTATTATTCAAAATAATCTAGCATAGTTCTATTACTTTCCCAGTAAGGGTAATGATGATAAAGTAAATTAGAAAAAGGTTATGTGGGATAGAAATCTCAATCCTTCGGATGTCAGGCTCTTCTTGGCTTCAACAACCTGCAGAAGTTAACTGGAGCTATTCTGCTGTTTCCCAATTTACATTTTCTTCTCTGACAGGATCATAATCTACTTATCTTTTCTGAATAGGGTTTCTCCCTGTTTGCCTCTACAAATCTTTCTACCAAAATAAGCTGCAGATGAAGAGGTCACTGGCCAAATCTGGGTCAGAAGCCTGGGCTGCAGTCCTGGTCCGGCCCCTTAACTCTCAGTGTGTTCTTGGGCAAATCGCTGGGCCTCTCTGAGCTTTATTTCCTCAACTGGGTAAAACAGATTAGAACAGGTCCAGTGTGGAAGGTCATGCTTGTAATCCTAGCAAACTTTGGGAGGCTTTGGTGGACAGATCACCTGAGGTCAGAAATTTGAAGCCAGCCTGTCCAACATGGCAAAACCCTATCGCTACTAAAAATACAAAAATTAGCCAGGCATGGTGGTGGGAGCCTGTAATCCCAGCTACTCAGGAGGCTGAGACATGAGAATTGCTTGAACTCGGGAGGTGGAGGTTGCAGTGAGTAAGATCATGCCACTGCACTCCAACCTGGGTAACAGAGTGAGGCTCCATCTAAAAAAAAAAAAAAAGAAAAATAAAAAAAGGTGTATATAAAGCAACTAGTACAGTACACTTCATTTATGTTTTTTTTTTTTTTTATGGGTGGAGATGGAGTCTCACTCTGTTGCCCAGGCTGGAGTGTAGTGGCGTGATTTCAGCTCACTGCAACCTCCGCCTCCTGGTTTCAAGCAATTCTCCTATAGGAGATGTGCCACCATGCCTGGCTAACTTTTTTGTATTTTTAGTAGAGACAGAGTTTCACCACCGTCTCTACTTAGCCAGGCTGGTCTCAAACTCCTGACCTTGTGATCTGCCTGCCTCAGCCTCCCAAAGTGCTGGGATTATAGACGTGGCCCACTGTACCTGATCTCATTTATATGATTATTATAGAGTGAAATTTCACTAGGCACCTCTCCTTCCTATGCTCTCTCCTCTGTCTCCCCTGGGGGCCGCTGCTGAATATGCAGCAGGGAGGACCTGTAGCCAGGGCTCCAGGCATCTCCCCTCTGTCCTCTTACTCAAACCTATTGCTTTCTGAAGATCAAGAAAAGCAACCAACTGGAGAAAGCTTTGCAAGATTTTTATCATTACTAGTTTATGACAGGATTTCTCAGTTTCTTGGCCAGGGTTTCAGCCTAGACTTCAATTCCTGGGTTCCATCAGTATTCTTCACAATATTAAATTAAAAACTGACATTTTAACATGGGGAACTATTTCATACCATGAATTTAAATAATACTATCAGGCTAACCTAAAGGCCCTTTTCAAATAAGACAAGATGGTAAGGAAGCCAGCCACAGCCTCTACACTACCCTCTCCTCCTGGAGCAATTCCGTAACACTAATGCCACTTTATTCTGGGAAATATAGAAACCGTGGATGACCTAGAAAACTGGATGACTTCAGGAGCAGCTCAGTGAGAGGTGGCCTAATGCCCAAAGCAAAGTAAGTTATCACATCATATCATGCTGGAACACGCTCAGATAAGCTGCAAGAGCCAATTATATCACAAAAGTAATGGATAAAACTCACTTCTACAGCATGATTACAGAGAAAGACAAAAATTAAATTTGATGTGGGAATTATACCAAAAAAGAATATCTAACTGGTATATGGAGTTGAGGAAACTGGTTAGGAAGTGCTTAAATAGGTAAAGAGTAAGTGGTTGAGAAAGAGGAGGAGGAACCTAAGTAGATGGAATATTATCTCCAAACAGGGCAGGAAAAGGTAAAAAGCATAAAATCAAAATGTTAATGGCTGCATCAATGGGCCCCAAAATTGATTTCCTTTTTTCTTTTTTTGGCTGCTCCTTGTGGAGCAGGGCTAACTCACAAGCACTGTGCCCGGAGTAGCCATACCAATTTCCAAATCCCCCTCTCCCCCATTTCCCTTGCCTTTTCCCAGTGCCACCAGCCTGATTCTGTTGTCTTTAGCAACAAGAGCCTGTCTATCTAACACTCAGAGGGGAACAATTTTCCTCAGGACAGTAGTTAGGTGACCACTTACCTTTGGCTTCACGTCTTTTGAAGGTAAGATGGAAGGCCTGGCAGAGGCGACAGCAGGGCGTTTGGGTGGGGCAGCTGGTACTAAGCCTGAAGCAAGGCTCATGGGTTTTTTATTCAACCCACCAGTGGTGGTGGGAGCTGGCTGCTTAGGGAGAAAAGTGGGCTGTGTTTTGGCTTTCGATGTTGAAGTCTTTGCAGGCTGAGTGGAGGCCAAAGGCTTTAGGTTGATTGTTGTTTATTTTTATTTTTTATTTTTATTTTTTAAAGGCCAACATCAAACACACAGACAAGAATAAAAACAAATAAAAAAAAGTATAAATTGCACAATTCAAAGTAAAATTATAAGCAATGAGGATAGATGCAACTTAAAATTGGCATTTCTTTCTTCTGAGCTCAGTAAACAGTTGAATGACACCAGAATAGAGAAAGAAAATGGGGATTAGTTTCTTAATGACAGTGCCACAAATTCCGGCAGTTTGGCACTTGAAGATTTAATTCAGTAAAACAATTAACTAACTCTTAAAACTAACAGCTGGTGGCTAAAATAATTCTACAAGAAAATCATCAGTAGGTGATTAAGCCATTATGACCTATTTTTTTAAGAACTTTTTAATTTAACTTTCTGAAGCCCCTGGACATGCTGAAACTACCTGTATCTTATGGGACAACAACAGCCACAGCCTACAGTGTGGCTTTTGAACTTTGCAGTAAGTACTGGGGTTATGTGTCTGAAGCTATATGATCCATCTTCAAAATCCGCATTCTCTTTTCATGAATGGAGATTTCAGAATCTTTTTTTCTTTAACATTGAGTTAATAGCAAACAATTTGGAATTTATTGCAATTGTCCTTTAGGTTGTTGTTAAGGGAAGCAGAAACAATCTCTATAGAACATTTTTTACAGATATGTAAGATAATAGGGTCAAAGGCTGAGATTTTTTTTTTTTTTTTTTTTTTTGAGACGGAGTTTCGCTCTTGTTACCCAGGCTGGAGTGCAATGGCGCGATCTCGGCTCACCGCAACCTCCGCCTCCTGGGCTCAGGCAATTCTCCTGCCTCAGCCTCCTGAGTAGCTGGGATTACAGGCACACGCCACCATGCCCAGCTAATTTTTGTACTTTTAGTGGAGACGGGGTTTTACCATGTTGACCAGGATGGTCTCGATCTCTTGACCTTGTGATCCACCCGCCTCGGCCTCCCAAAGTGCTGGGATTACAGGCTTGAGCCACCGCGCCCGGCCTAAAGGCTGAGATTTTAATGTTGGTTTAGGCCACTATGGTAAATGAGAATACAAGATATTTTCTAAGCATGTCTAAACATGAGGAAGGACCACAATAGCTCAGAAAAAAGAAATGTCATTCATGATTCAAGCAATAACAGCAGAAGATAACCACCACTCTGGCACCTACCTTTGTTTTCTTCTCTGGGCTTGGTGGGAGCTCCTTGTTTGGTGGGGTGGTGATGTCATTTCCAGTCCCACTCACAGCAGGCCTTCCTTCTTCTGGCCTGGCTACTCCTAAGGGGAGAGGGTGGGTGGGAATTCTGCTAAGCAAACGTTTTTCACACCCGTTTTGAAAATACAAGGTTTAGCAAAGACAGATCACTAACTAGCATGTCATTCTGAAAAAAGTCCACAGGGTTGTGCTGCTGAAATGTGGACAAGACTCCCAAGTTCTCATTGTGATGGAAAACAGTTTTAGATTCCTCAGATTCAGGAGCCTGACCCTGTGGAGAAGCAGTCTAAGTGGCACATGCATGAATGATCGGTGGAAAGAAATGGTCCTTTAAGTTTGGTTTCCCTTCCCTGGAGACCAAAGGGACTCTGTCTTCCAACCACTAGCTCTCCAAGCAATAGGACAAAAACCTCTTCTACCAGAGTCTATCTTTCAAATAAATGTTGCTGTGAGATGGGGTAAGTGCCAGATCATTCAATGACTCCCTTTCCTTCCTTTCCCTATAAAGAACCACTTTATAGAGGATGCAAGATTAACCTGATCTAGTTCTAACAGTGACCCAGATTTCCAACAGGCTGAGGAGACCCATCGAACAAGACCCAGGGCCAGAAATAAAGTCTCCTGCCTAAGGCAACATAGCCTCCTCTCTGTGGAGAGGTTACTCCAGATTTCAATATGACTACACATGAAAGCATTAAAATACTGTTAAATTTATAATCTCGCTGTGCGGGGAAGGACTTTCTAACTGGCACAAAGTCCACAGGCCACAAGTTTGACTAAAGAAAAATAAAAAACTTCTATGTGGCAAAAAACAAAAAAAGACAAGACATTATAATAAAAGTCAAAAGGCAAATGAGAAACAGAAAAAATACTTGCTCCTCATGCCAAAGACAAAGAGCTTATTCTATAAATTATTCCCACAAATCAATCACTGCTACAAAGGCCAATAAACCACTGGAAAAATGACCAAAACAGTATAAACACATTTTATAGAACAGAGATACAAATGTCTTTTGAATCTATGAAAAGATATCCAATGTTAAGTATAATAAGAAAAATAAAAATTAAAACCCCACTGAAATGTCTTTTTTATTTTATTTTTTGAGATGGAGTCTCACTCTGCCACCCATAGGCAGTGTGTACAATGGCATGATCTCGACTCACTGCAACCTCTGTCTTCCCCATTCAAACAATTTTCCTGCCTCAGGCTCCCAAGTAGCTAAGGAATACAGGAATACACCACCTCACCCAGCTGATTTCTGTATTTTAGTAGAGATGGGGTTTCACCATGTTGGCCAGGCTGGTCTCAAACTCCTGACCTCAGGTGATTCACGCACCTTGGCCTCCCAAAGTGCTGGGAGTATAGGCATGAATCACCATGCTTGGCCTGAAATGCCATTTTAACACTAACATATTGTCAAAAGTCCTAAAATTTAAAAATAACTATTAAGAATAATATGGAGAAATATACTTGGTAGGTATATGTATGAACTGCTATGACTCATAGGCAGGGCTGCCTGACAGTGTCATTTTCTAAAAATTACAAGTACACACAAATTCTAATCCAGAAAACCAATTTCTAGTAATTTATCTTAGAGGTGTATTTATACACCAGCAAAATAATAAATGTGCAAGGTTTCCACCAGGTCATTGTTTCTAAAAGCAAAAGAACAACTCAGTAGTCTGTTAATAGAAAACTGGTTATTACGGTAGAAATATCAATGTAATCTCTGAATGAGAAAAAATAAAGCATGGAGAAATCATTTTATAATTACTATGCAATGGTCTCTACTAAGTGAAAAAAACCCAGCAAAGCATAAGTATAATGTGAAACCATTTGTCTTGAAAAGGGATGGGGGATAAGGTAGTACTGCAAATACACTTGTATATGCATTTCAAAAGAATCTTTGAGCCGGGCGCGGTGGCTCAAGCCTGTAATCCCAGCACTTTGGGAGGCCGAGGAGGGTGGATCACAAGGTCAAGAGATCGAGACCATCCTGGTCAACATGGTGAAACCCCGTCTCTACTAAAAATACAAAAAATTAGCTGGGCATGGTGGCGCGTGCCTGTAATCCCAGCTACTCGGGAGGCTGAGGCAGGAGAATTGCCTGAATCCAGGAGGCGGAGGTTGCGGTGAGCCGAGATCGCGCCATTGCACTCCAGCCTGGGTAACAAGAGTGAAACTCCGTCTCAAAAAAAAAAAAAGAATCTTTGAAAGGAATCTAATTAAACAGAACAACGTTTGTGTGGGAAAGGATGAGACACAAAAATGGGGAGGGTAGGAGGCTAAAAACATTTTGAGAAAATATTAGATTCACAGGAAGTTGCAAAGAATTACATAGGGAAGGTCCTGTGTACCCTTTTACCCAGTCTCCCCAGTGTTGACATCCTACGTATATATGGTATACTACCAAAACCAGGAAACAGAGACAACCCACAGAGCCTACTCAGATTTTTCGCTTTAGATGCACTTATTTGTGTGTGTGTGTGTGTGTGTGTGTGTGTATGTGTGTGTGTGTAGTGCTATGCAACTTTATTAAGTGTAGCTTTGTGTAACCACTACCTCAGCCTCCCAAAGTGCGGGAATTTTAGATTACCTGGCCTAGAGTGGCTGCTTATAATCAACAGGGTTTCTTCATATTACCCTCTATAGCCGTATCTACCCCATCTCCTCTTTCTAATCCCTAAATATATGGCAACTACTATGCTCTCCATCTCTATAATAACTTCCAGTACACTATGTTAAAAAAAAGAGTGGTCCAAGTAGACATCCTTGCCTCATTCCCAATCTTAGATGGAAAGCATTCACTTATTCACCATTAAATATGATGTTAGTTGTAGGCTTGCTATAGACGCTGTTTGTCAAGTTAACTAGTTTGCTAAGGGTTTTAACATGGATGGCTATTGAATTGTGTTAAACAATTATCCTGTGTTTACATTTTTTTTCTTTAGACTATGAGATGACAGATTACTTTTATTTGATTATTGTACTAGCCTGGTATCCCTGGAATAATTCCAATTTCAATTTTTTTTTTTTTTTAAAGAGATGGGGTCTGTTGCCTAGGCTTCAGTGCAGTGGCATAATCACAGCTCACTGCCACCTCAAACTCCTGGGCTCAAGAGACCCTAATGCCTCAGTCTTCCAAGTAGCTGGGACAACTGGCATGTGCCACCATACCTGCATAATTTACCAAAAAAATTTTTTTTGAAGAGATGGAGGTTCTGCCATTTGGCCCAAACTGACTGGGTCTCAAGCAGTCCCCCCACTTCAGCTTCCCAAAGTGCTGGGATTACAGGCACAAACCTCCATGCTCCATCATAATTTTAATCTTTTTTTTTGTTTTTTTGTTTTTGTTTTTGTTTTTTTTTTTGAGAAGGAGTTTCGCTCTTGTTACCCAGGCTGGAGTGCAATGGCGCGATCTCGGCTCACCGCAACCTCCGCCTCCTAGATTCAGGCAATTCTCCTGCCTCAGCCTCCTGAGTAGCTGGGATTACAGGCACGCGCCAACATGCCCAGCTAATTTTTTGTGTTTTTAGTAGAGACGGGGTTTCACCATGTTGACCAGGATGGTCTCGATCTCTCGACCTCATGATCCACCCGCCTCAGCCTCCCAAAGTGCTGGGATTACAGGCTTGAGCCACTGTGCCCGGCCCATAATTTTAATCTTTTAAATTTATTGAAGTTGGTTTTATGACCCAAGATCCATCTTGGCGAATGTTTAATGGGAATGTATATTCTGTCACTGAGTGGAATTTCTATCAATGTCTATGAGATTTTGTTGTCTGATGGCATTGTTACAGCTTTACTAACATTCTGTTTAGTAGTTCTATCAATTGTGATCCACCTGCCTCAGCCTCCCAAAGTGGTGGGATTACAGGCGTGAGCCACTGTGCCTGGTCTCCCATCTTTTAACTTTTAACCTACCTATGTCCTTATGTTTGTTATTAATTTCTTATAGATAGCATATACTTGGGCCATTATTTTTTCTTTTCAAGACAGGTGTGATCATGGCTAAATTGTACTCACTGTAGACTCTACCTCCTGGGCTCAAGCAATACTCCCACTCTGAATAGCTAGGACCACAGGTGTGTACCTGTGCCATGCCCAGCTAATTTAAAAATTATCTGTAGAGACAGATTCTCCCTGTGATACTCAGGCTGGTCTCGAACTGCTAGGTTCAAGTGATTCTTCTGTCTCAGCCTCCCAAAGGGATTACATGCAGGAGCCACTGAACCTGGCCTCTTTGAGTCATTTACTCAAAAAAAAATCTACTCTCTAATCTTTGTCTTTTAATTGTAGGACTTAGACCATTTATATCCACAATAATTACTGATGGCCAAGTGCTCACTTGCAAGCTCCATCTCCCGGGTTCAAGTGATTCTCCTGCCTCAGCCTCCCCAGTAGCTGGGATTACAGGCATGCACCACTACACCCAGCTAATTTTGTAAAGATGGGGTTTTACTGTGTTGATCTGGATGGTCTTGAACTCCAACCTCAGGTGATATGCCTGCCTCAGCCTCCCAAAGTGCTGGGATTATAGGCATGAGACACCATGCCCAGCCCATTTGTTCTTTTTCTCATTTCTCTGTTTTACTTTCTTGCCTTCCTGTTGGTTACTTGAACTTTTAAAAAAATCTTTAATTTCCTTTTTTCATTTTTTCAAATTACATCTCACCCAAGGTTACCTAAATATTTTTCAGAATTTTTTTATTTAAAAAATGTTTTTGAGTATAGCGCTTTGTATAGTTTTCTTAGTGGTTGCTCTAGGTATGAAAATATTCATACAATCAACTGGTATCAATGTGCTACTACTGTTTTTTTCCTCTAGAGATGGGGTCTCACTCTGTTGCTCAGGCTGGTCTCAAACTCCAGGCTCAAGTGATCCTCCCATCTCAGCCTCCTGCATATCTGGGGCTACAGGTGCACACCACCAAACCGAGCTACATTTTACTACTTTGAGTAACCTACTGGAACAATGTTTTGCTGCTGAGCTCATTTAAGTTTTTAATTTTAATTATATTTTTCATATTGACAATTAACATTTGTTTTTTATATAACTTC